GGGCTGGATGTCAGGGTGATATCCAAGGAGTTCTAGGGAGCAGGATGTCCAAAGTCCGAGGTATCAGAGCAGCCAACCATCTGCAGAACCTGTTCACTCTGCCTCTCCCCTTCAGCCCCTTCACCTGCCTGCTTCTGGAATACCTGCCACTGCTTGTCTTCTTCTTCTTCTTCTTTTTTTTAATATTTTATTATTGATTTTTTACAGAGATGAAGGGAGAGGGATAGAAAGCTAGAAACATCAATGAGAGAGAAACATCAACCAGCTGCCTCTTGCATACCCCCTATTGGGGATGTGCCCGCAACCAAGGTACATGCCCTTGACCAGAATCGAACCTGGGACCTTTCAGTCACCACAGGCCGACGCTCTATCCACTGAGCCAAACTGGTTTGGGCACTGCTTGTCTTCTTGAAGAGCCATCTGCACCTGCCTGGTGGGGTCTGCCCTCATGGTGCTCGCACCTGGCTCCACACACATCCCTACAGGTGGGCCTGAGACTGTGTCTCATCTTCACCCCTCCTGGATCCTGACACACCTCAATTGGTGTTTTAAAATATTTTTTATTGATTTTTTTTTCCCCCAGATTGAGGGGCTGCCTCCTGCACGCCCCCTACCAGGGATGGAGCTACAACTTAGGCATGTGTCCCAACTGGGAATCAAACCGGCAGTCTTTCGGTGCACAGAGGACACCCAACCTGGCCACACCAGCCAAGGCTGGACTGTTTTCAATGCAGGAAATATGTCCGAAGCAGAGGTAGCTGTCACCTCCATGCTCTGTCTCTGGAGAACTCTCACCGCCAGCGGATGTGTCCCACCGCACTGCTGCTGTCTTCACTGCCACACTACGGATTAGCACTCAGAGGAAGACTTGGCTCAAGGGGCCCCTTCAGGCCCTCTGCTCTGTTCACTTCTCTCACCTGCTGCCCTGACACAGCAGAGCCGCACCCCTGCAGGCCATGGCTCTTCTCAGGCCATGTGTTGTCGGCAACGCCCTTCCCACTCACTTCCACACTGACCTCTGACCACTGCAAGTCCAGCCCACACGCCTCTCCCAGGAGGCCTTGAAGACCACAGTCAGCATTTAACGCCTCCTGCCTGCTCCCTGGCTCTCCCGGTCTACCCGGTTTTGGCTTCTGAGCAGGTCCCTTTTGCTCCAGTCATTCATGAGTCTGCTACACCAGATCACGGGTTCCTAGAGGCAGTAACTCTCTTCTTCGCTTCTACACACCCCTCCCCTGTTTTGTGCATAAGCAACGACACGGTAACGTTTGATTTTATATCTGCTCCTTAAATAAATCAGGCAAGCCGAAGCCGGTTTGGCTCAGTGGATAGAGCGTCAGCCTGCGGACTGAAAGGTCCCAGGTTCGATTCCAGTCAAGGGCATGTACCTTGGTTGCGGGCAGTTCCCCAGTAGGGGGTGTGCAAGAGGCAGCTGATCGATGATTCTCTCTCGATATTTCTAACTCTCTTCCTCTCTATAAAAAAAAATCAATAAAATATATATTTTTAAAATAAAATAAAAAATAAATCAGGCAAGTTTCTTTCCTGACCTCCCATGAAAGATTTGCTCTAATAGCTGCTACTCCCACCTTAATCTTCTACTGTGTAATCTTCTACCTGGTATTTGACATTCTCCTCTTTGATTCCTTTAGGCCTGAGTAAAGTTCCATAACACGTGGATGCGATGCTCCAAGCTGTGTGAACCAAGGAAGCCGACTTGCTGCGAGCCTGCTCTCCGCACCCTCAGCAAAGCTTTAGACACCACAGGAGGGGATGGCCCTGCCGTCAGAAGTTTAGGAGATGGAGTTCTGACCCATGAGACAAGGAACACCACAGCTGGATGCTGACAGGTTGCAGCACGTGTGACAAGTGTGGGGACTTGCCACAGGAGAGCTGGGGCATGCAGTGGTTCCCCAGGTTAGTGCTCCAGGTAACCTGATGACCTGATCACCCAGATGAAGGGCTTGGGGGACATCTGTCCAAGGCACTCACGGTCAGCTAGTACTGCTCAGTTTTTGTTGGTGTTAAGGCCAACACACCCTTCTCCCATCTGTCTTTAGAATTCTCAGGGCTGGAAGTTCAATTCTCCAAGCATGTCAGTTTCATAGGAATGGAATCAAATCTCTAGACACGATTTAAAATTCAAGATGATGATGTCACCACCGAGCTGGTCAGCAAGCGCACGTTTCCTTTGGCAGACATATCTACAATAGGATTCACTCTACACACTTGTCACACACACACACACACACACACACACACACACACACACACACACAGGAAATGCTAGAGAAGCCAGGCCTGTGGAGGGTGGGGGAGAGCGGGGGATGGTTCGGTTTGGTTCAGTGTTGGTATCTGAGAGGCAGGTGGTCTGCAGCTCCCAGGTACAGGGGTTTGAAGGGATGGAGACGAATTCCCTGAGCCTTCTGCAAGTCTGGACGAAAAGGGGAGTCAAGATGGGATTGAGAGAGGGCTTTGTGAGTTCAGTATGGGGTAGACTGAAGCAAATTTATAGATGCAGAAGACACAGCCGTGCAGGTGAAGACACAGGTGAGTAAAAGGTAAAGAATCCAGGTCCTGGGGCTGGCGGAGGGTGGGCCCAGGTAGGTATTGAGGAAGGAGGGTGGGCCCTGGTGGGGGTGAAGGTAGAGCTGTCCATGGCTTCATGGTGACCTGATGACTTAGGACTCTCCAAGGAGCATTCTCCACAGGCAGAGTCTTCTAAAGGCATTCCCTCTTGTCATTAAGTGTGTATCTTTATTTATTTACTAGAGGCCCGGTGCATGAAATTTGTGCACGGGGGCAGGGGTGCTCCTCAGTGCAGCCTGCACCCTCTCCAATCTGGGATGCCTTGAGGGATGTCCAACTGCCTGTTTAGTTCCGGGATCAGAATACCATAAATCTTTTATGGGAGGTCAGGACAGATACTTGCCTCAACAGGCAGTCAGACATCCCTCTCACAATCCTGGACTGTTGGCTCTCAACTGCTTGCTTGCCTACCTGCCAGCCTGATCACCCCCAACCACTCCCCTGCCAGCCTGATTGATGCCTAACTTCCCCTGCTGGCCTGGTTGCCCCTAACTGCCTTCCCCTGCCAGCCTGGTTACCTCCAACTGCCCTCCCCTGCAGGTCTGGTCCCCCCCAAACTGCCCTCCCCTGCAGGCCTGGTCCCCCCAACTGTCCTCTCCTGTAGACCTGACCGCCCCCAATTGCCCTCCCTTGCAGGCCTGCCCAACTGTCCTCCCCTGCTGGCCATGTTGTGTCCACATGGGAGCAGCCATCTTGTGTCCATATGGGAGCAGCCATCTTGTGTGTTGGAGTGATGGTCAATTTGCATACCACTCTTTTCTTAGATATATTTTTAATATATTTTTATTTATTTCAGAGAGGAAGGAAGAGGGATATAGAAATATCTATATGAGATGATCATGAGATGATCAGGATCTATATGTGATGAGAGGATCATGATCAGCTGTTTCCTGCACTCCCCACACAGGAGATCGAGCCACAACCAGGGCATGTGCCCTGACTGGGAATTGAACTGTGACCTCCTGGTTTATAGGTCACCATTCAACCACAGCCACGCTGGCTGGGCAGAGTGCATCTTGATGTGAACTCCATTCTTTGTTGAAAACTTGATGTAAGCACATCAAATGGGTTTCACTCAGTTCAACAAAAAATGAACTTCTGGCTCTGTTGGGGTGCTGGCGATACAAAACAAAATGTATCTCAGAAGCTGTCAGCGTGTCCCAGCTTGCTGGATGGAATAAGGTAGTGTTACAGATGGGATAGGAAGGCCTCAGCATCATCACATGAGGGCCAAGCCAGGATGCCTAGCACACTGCTGTGTATACACCCAATGACTCAAAGGGAATGGGCAGGACCATCTGTATAATTTAGAAATGAATATGACCAATGCTATTTTCTAAAAATAAACACATGTTTGTATCATTTCTCCATGGACTTACTTCAGACTAGATGCAATTTATTTCATTTTAAAGTGTTTTAATTTATATTACTGCAATCCATAATTTATATCTGCAATACATAATTCCACCTAACATGTCTGTCCAAGTATTTTGGTCAAATATTTAGGCTCTTAAAGCCAATATTTATAGGGAAACTGTAGCTTAATGTAACCCCTAGGGGAATCTTTATAAGGATCAGTTCGTCATCCATGTGGTTTTCTAAAAATGAGGCACATAATCACCAAAATACACTTTTAAAATTGAAAGTTAAAACTTAGGTTTTGCAAATAGCACTACATTAATTTGGCCTCTTGAAGAACAGTGTGGTAATATTCAAATCACAATAACAACAAATTGATAAAGATTAGTAAAACACAAAAATCTTATTAAAATAATTTTCAATAAGTTTCAATTAGTTATATTTTGATCATAAAGGATCTTTATTAAAGAATCCTAAAACCAAATATTTTAAAAGAATTATATAACCTAAAAAACTGACATGAAAGTGTTTTATTTAAAATTGTTTTAATAAAAAAACAAACACATCTCATTTTAGAAAACATAGGCTTTAAGGATTAAAAGCAACTTTTCAAACACATTGCCAGAATTAAAATGTCACATCACAGAAATGTTTTAATAACAAATACTGACCAACAGATTACAACACCAAAGTTGTACAATAAATAAAAAAGCTTTCTAATTTTTTTTTTACCAAGGTATCATGAACTGATAAAATAACAATAGAAAGTTAACATTAATTTCCGAAAAAAAGGCACATCCAGGCAAAATAGTCAAGGCGACTTATAAAATGCAGCGTAATGTTTATATTGTGCATGATCAACTGAATGCAATAAATTACTCTGGAAGATTCTAAAATATGGCAGTAATAGATTGGAAAGCTGGGCAAATAAGACACCCCACTCCTTAGTAGCATATTTTGCTCCCCAAAGTGCAGTCACAGAACTGTCTAAGTATCAGGCTTCCCTGCACACAGGCTTCGCTTTGCAAAGCTGTTTATCATCTTGATGCCCCTCAGAGACTTGAACGCCGGTCTGGTCGTGGCACGCACTTTGTGATTGCAGCTCTCCACAGCACCGGGGCCAGTAAGAGGCTGAGCGTGGTCACGCTCAGGATCAGGAGGTACACCTGCAACAGGTAAAACTGAGCGCCATCTCAGGATTAAGAGGTGCACCCGTGCCGAAACCGGTTTGGTTCAGTGGATAGAGCGTTGGTCTGCGGACTGAAGGGTCCCAGGTTCGATTCCAGTCAGGGGCATGTACATTGGCTGCGGGCACATCCCTGGTGTGGGGTGTGCAGGAGGCAGCTGGTCGATGTCTCTCTCTCATCGATGTTTCTAGCTCTCTATCTCTCTCCTCTCCCTTCCTCTCTGTAAAAAATCAATAAAATATATTAAAAAAAAAAAAAGAGGTGCACCCGTAACAGGTAAGTCTATGTCCTACTCAAACCACAGATACACTCTCAGGTACACCCCTATACAGACACAGGTGCCTCGACATTTGGATGTGAGGCGGACAGCGGTTGGCAAACTGCGGCTCACGAGCCACATGCGGCTTTCGAGCCACGGTTTGCCACTCTGCTGACTGACTTGGCCTACCACTGGCCTAGACTCTCGATTCCAATAATTACAGGCTGTTATTAATTCTTGTGATTAAGCCCCTGAGCATCAGTGGAAACTAGTCAGGGCGATGTATCACTGGTGCACACACTGGAGTCTGTGCAATCGTAGTCACCTTGGGCTCACTAGGCAGTCAGACTGACCGCTTGGACATCGCTCAGAGTGAGGATACAGCCTCAGAGCAGGTCTCAGATGGAGCTCAGGCACAGATTCCATTTTTCCGCAATTGTTTGAAATCCTCTTTAGTAGTAGGACTTACTTTCCTCACACATGTGGACATAAGGAGACAACCACTTAATCTTGAATGCCTACCAGCATTTCACGTGAACCAATTAGAACTTTTATATTCATCCAATCCACATTTATTAGGGAGCGGGTATGCAGGTCCAAATACCCACAATGTCACTTGGCTGGGTGGACTTTACCAACACCATCACAACTTAGGGAGGGACGCTGTCAGGAGAGGCAGTCAGGAGTCCCCCTTTGCCCTGAGGAGGGGAATGAGAGCAGGGCAAACCCCCTCAGGCCCAGAAGTTCAACTGTGCTGACACAGACATCAAAAGGGGAAAGTATGACACCTAGATTGCAGAAGAGGACTATAGAGTAAAAAATGATTATAAATAGAAGTTACTATTAGGAACTTATGTGGCTGCAAATCCATGACTTAAAAATATCCTGAAGTTAACAGTTTCTATCTATTTATTGAAGAGAACAAAAACAGCTGATTTACACAGTCTCCACGGTATGCAGTTTTCCAGCCCGGCACACATGTGATTTCTTAGTGAGCTAGCAGTTCAAAATCAGGGAATTCAAATTCCTATACTATTACCAACATTCAACAACAACAAAACTCCCTTTGATCTCCATCTTGTTTTCACTGAAACAGTAATGCTCTACTTTTAGTTATGAAATGCTTTCTATAGTTACAGCATCAATTTGCCCTTAGCTCACTCAGGGCTAATACTCAACTCAGTTATCTGCTCCTGGAAGCATATTCAGGTTTTAAACATTAAACTTTTAACACAGGGAAGCACAGAGTGCGGCGTACTTACCCATGGGATTGGGAGTCCTTTTTTCATTTTAGAGCCACACCCCACCACCCATCACAAAAAAAACCCCAAAATCTCCTTCTTATCAAATGTAGTGACAATCATGGATCATCAAATAATACTTATCAACTTCTAGTTCAAAGCCAGTTAAAAAAGGACAAATGATAGAGGTGGAAAATGTAAGTGCAAACTCACCTGCGCACACACGATGCTCACACATCAGCCAGAGGGGAGTCTAACAGGACACTGAGGAAGCACCTGCCTGATCAGTACACTTACAGGAAGTGGGTGGAGACTCACCTCCCGAGAAATGATGCCAGCTCTGCGGGCTCTGCTCCCCAGGACAAAAGAGAACTCGCTGACTTGGGCCAGCCCCGCGGCCACGATCCACTTGATGTACTGGCTGGTTTTCGGCAAGAGGAGAGACAAGACCAGTGCTGCCAGAACAAACTGCGAGAGGGCCCGTGTTATTGCTTCATCAGAGCCCCGGCAGCCACGCACCCAGGACATGGAGGACACAAATGCCGGGGCAGCCCTCGAATAACACACAGAGGCACTTTGATGCTGAAGGCACCAAATAAGCACAAAATGTCTGAAATAAAACCACACAGAACACCGAGGCCAAATCCAGGGCTTGGGTTCATTTGCAGAAAACAAAACCTCCCCAGCCCCCAGAACTAAATGAACAGCATTAGATGTTATATAGCGTTCCAATGGGAATTTTATTTTTAATAAAAGAGAATGTATTTCTCTCATGTAAGCAATCTCCAGAGGGGTAAGCAGCCTGGAGCCAACAGGGCAGCTAGACAATCATGGGGGATTTGGCTCTTTCACCAGTGGAAATATTTTAAGTCAATTTCTATAACCCATAAAGCCAGATAGCTACAGAGCAGGTCAGGACATTAAAAGTTAATAGAGGCAACGCAATGATTTGTAGTCTTGGAGGACAGACACAGGAGAGTGGTGAAATAATTCTTGTGACCGGGAAGATGTATATCTGCAGGCATCACAAGAGCAGGTTCTATGGTTCTTCAGACTCATTTAGGATTAAAGTCAAATTCTAGTGCAAGGACTTCTTGGAAGATCAGAGAGCTATTTCTCCCATTCCAGCTTTCTAACTCACAGTTTTAAACATACTCAGTTCTGATCAAACAAAGGAAGACAAACCCAAACCACCTGTATCCTAACCCAGACCTGTCCCCAGGCGGTGGGGTAGCAGGAGGGGGAGGAGGGGCGTCTCACTGACGTTGTTCCAGGTAAGTGGCCCTGCTGGGGGCTCACAGACTCGGCATCCATCTCAGGCCCAGGAGGAAGTATGTGTGCTGTGTGAGCAACATGCAAACCCCAAGATAACCAGAATTTTACCAATCACCAATGACTGAGAGGCTCCGTACCTTCATGATCACCACCGCCAACGTGAGGACCATCAGGATGGTGAGCTCGTACACCACGAAAGTGGGAAACACGTGGAGGCCTGTGAGGAAGAAGACGGGCACAGGAATTCTTTCAGGATCACACAGCCAGTCTCCGAACAAATTCACACCAGTTTCTCACTGATAAACCTATTCACTCTCAAACTCCTCAGATGTGTTTCAGTAGAAGGAAGAATTCTTGTAAGCACCATCCTGTTGTGCTGTCTGTTTAAGCGCTCTTCAAGCATTTGCCGTGGGTGGCTCCTGGGCCCCCACAGAGTCCCTCACCGGCCCGACCACCAGTGGGGTGCTCGGCACAGCCAGATGGCAGAGGCCTTTGCTGTGAGGGTGGAGGCTGCTCACGCCCCTGACTTCTGGCCGTGAGCAGGGCCCTATGCGGAGAGGAACGCTGACACCCAACAACTGGAGCCAGTGCTTAGTGACATGAACAAAGCGGAGTGAGATGAAGCCCATGTTACAATGTCTTTGCCACACAGAACTGTGACAGGCCAGGCTGGCCCCCCCCCACCCCCAAATTTCATGCACTGGGCCACTAGTAAATATATAGAGATTATAGAGGTAATCTGCAAGTGTTTAACAAACACAATTTAAACACTCTGATGTAAAGCAGAAAATTACCTATGGATGCGAAGAAAATGATAGCCAGGAAGTCGCGAATCGGCTCGATGTAAGACACAATCTCCTCGGTGACCATGTGGCCTTGGGAAGAGATGAGCGCTCCGGCCAGGAAGCAGCCCAGCTCCATGGAGACATCCAGCAGCTCTGTGACCTGGGGAGGAGGGAAAGACCACGTCACACACACAGTGCCACCAGTTACCACCGGCTTCTACCAAAGTGGGATTCACACCCAAAGACAGCCTTGTGAGGTCTAGCAGAACCATCACAATAAAGCTGTGAAAATCAAATCTCGCTGTACATCTGGGAGATCCCCAGTGGTGCCTCTGTGGGGATGACCCAGAGAGACAACATGAGAAAGCTAACATGAGTTGAATTAACCATACAGGGAGAAAACATTAATTTAAAACATTTAAAACAATTCATGTAGATAGCTGTGACATTTTTGAATTAGAGTATTTTCCAAATTTTATTTTAAATATTTGTAATACATTTTCTTTACCTTGAATAAAGGAAGAGCCTTACTCTGGCTTAAAAGATGTATTATAGCCGAAACCGGTTTGGCTCAATGGATAGAGCGTCGGCTTGGGGACTGAAGGGACCCAGGTTCGATTCCGGTCAAGGGCATGTACCTTGGTTGCGGGCATATCCCCAGTAGGGGGTGTGCAAGAGGCAGCTGATCGATGATTCTCTCTCATCGATGTTTCTAACTCTCTATCTCTCTCCCTTCCTCTCTGTATAAAATCAATAAAATATATTTAAAAAAAAAAAAAAAAAAAAAAAAAAAAAAAAAGATGTATTATAGCCCTAGCCAGTTTGGCTCAGTGGATAGAGCATTGGTCCTCGAGCTGAAGGGTCCAGATTCAATTCCAGTCAAGGGCACGAACCTTGCTCATAGGCTTGATCCCCGGCCCTAATTAGTGTCCTGCAGGAAGCAACCGATCGATGTCTCTCAAAGCAATGTCTCTCTCTCTCCTTCCTACTCTCTAAAAATCAATGGAGGATTAACAGCAACAAAAGTATTGTAGTCCTGGCCAATGTGGCTCATTTGGTTGGGGCATCATCTCATGCACCAGAAGGTTGGGATTGGATTCCCAGCCAGGGTACATACCTAGGTTGCAGGTTTGATTCCTGGTCTGGGTCCATATAGGAGACTTCTGATCAATGTGTCTCTCTCATATCAATGTTTCTTTTCTCTTTCTCTCTCTCATTTTTTTCTTCTCTCAATTCAATAAAAAAATTTAGAAAAATGTGTTATATAAAAAAACTATTCCCAGCGCCAACTTAAACTGCTTAGAGAAAGCAGACACAGCTAATATACAATTACCTGGAGATGGCAGGAAACCAGAGGGAAGCACCAGCGAATCTAGACATGAGTAGATTCAATAATGCCACATTCAGACAGAATAGTTATAGATCCTTAGGCTTCTACCTGTATAGTTCTATTAAATGAACAGTTTCAGACTTCTTTATGTGACATCACTGATGCAAAACAACTAGCAAGATGCCTTTTTAATGTGAGACAGTAAAACTATAGACAATAGCAGCATCAGCCACAAAAGGAAAAAATGAACTTTGGAAGAAATACCATTTACAATAACATCAAAACTTATCAAACACCTTGGAATAAATAAAAGAAGTGCACAACTACCGCACCAAACACTACAAGGTGTCACTGAGAAACGCAGATGAGAGCCTTGGTAAACAGAGGATGTGTGCCACACTCAAGAGGGAAAAGGTCACTTTCCCTCAGCTGGCCTATGGGCTCACTGGAATCACAACAAAACTTCTCATGTGTGCAAAGTGACAAGTTGAATCTAAAAACGTACATGGACACTGGAAAGACCACAAATACAGGGTGAAAATAAAGTAGGTTTACAGTTGTGAGTACGAAAAATAGTTTATTCTTGTATTATTAATCATGATATTATTTTCCATACGAACAACTGTAAACCTCCTTTTGCCCACCCTGCAGAGCCAAGACAACCCTGATGGAGAAGGAAGCTGGTGCTACACTGCCAGCGGTAAGGGCAGGCATGCTGGCCCAGGGAGCAGAGTGCCGGTCAGAAACACACACACACACAAGCACTCACACAGCCTCTTGGGTTTTGACAAGGTGACCCTGCACAACGTGGGGGAGGGGTCTTTCAGCACACAGTGTGGGGAAAAGCACGTGAAAAAAACAACTCCACTTCCTTCTATCACTCTCACCTCCAGATGTGACAGGTCTAAACAAGATAAGTAAAGCAGTAACACTTGTAGAGGACAAAGGGAGGATCTTTGTGATCCAGGGGTAGGAAAAGGTTCTTTTTAAAAAAATCCTCACCCAAGGATATTTTTCCCATTCACTTTTAGAGAGCGGAAAGGAGGAAGAAGGAGAGAGGGAGAAAAGGAGGGAGGAAAAGAGGGAGAAGAGGGGAGAGGGTGGATTGAGAAACATTGACGTGAGAGACACACATCGATTGGTTACCTCTCACACAAGCCCCAACTGGGGCTGGGGATTGACCCTGCAGCCGAGATATGTGCCCTTGACCTGGGATCGAACCTGAAACCCACAGGTCTAACCACTGAGGTAAACTGGCCATGGCTAGGCAAAGGTCGTTTACATAGAATATAAAAATTGCTAACCGTGAAAAAAATGGATAACTTGATTCCATTAAAATTAAGAACTGTTTTTCATCAAAAAAGGCCATTTGGCAAGTGAAAAGGAAAGTCACAAACAGGGAAATAGTAGGAAAAATATATCTGACATAGAATATTATTCATTATAAAATGGAACAAAGTACTAAAACATGCTATAGCATGGATGAACCTTTGAAACATGCAAAGTAAAATAAGCCAGATAGAAAAGACCACATATTATATGATCCCGTTTATATAAGATGTCCAGAAGAGGCAAATCAAAGGAAAAAAAAGTAAATAAATGGTTACTAGAGGGTGGGGAACAGACAGAATTGTGAGGTAAAGGGTTTCTTTGGGGTGATAGAAATTTGTTCTGAAATTGGATAGTGGTGATGGTTGCACAGTGTTGTGAATATACTAAAAACCACTGAACTGTACACTTTAAATCAGTAAATAAAAAATTTGTCAAAATTTTGGCAGGACATATAAGAAACTCCTACAAATGAGTAAGAAATAACCAACCCAATAGAGAAATAACCTTAAGACTCTACCAGGCGCATCCCCAAGGAGGATGTCCATCTGGCTAATATGCATTTGGTAAGCTGCTCACACCATCAGTCATCAAGGAAATGAGAATCATGTCCAACAAAGAACACATATGAGAATATACAGCAGTTTTATTCATAAACAGCCCTAAATGGAAACAAACCATAGTAGCTAACAACAGAAAGGATGAACTGTGAAATATATGATGGAATATCACGCAGCAATAAATGAGGAGTCTCACAGAGAATAAATACCTAATATGCAAAATGTTCAACACCTAACACCATGCCTGGCAACTATAGCAGGTGCTCAGTAATTATAGTCAAATGAAGAAAACAAAACAAACACTAAGAACCAATGACTGAAGAAACAGTAAGGAAGTCATCCAGGTAAGACATATGTGCTGGATGCTATTTTCAAAGAGAAAAATATTCTGGAATGGATAAACCAATGTAAAAAAAATTTCACAAGTCATATACTTGAGCAGCTTTGAGCAGAAGCAAATCATAGTCTTCTCACAAGATTATGAAATACTAGCAGGCAATTAAATCATATATAAGGAAGTAATTTTTGCTAATTTCCTCTTTAAAATTAAACTTTTTATTTTGAGATAATCATAGATTTCAAGTACAGTTTCCCTACTGGCAATATCTTAACAAATCATAGCACTAGGTCACAGCCAGGATACTGATGAGACACAGTGAAGAAAGGTAGAACGTTCTGTCCCCATGAGGATCAATCCCACCCACACCCCTTCCTTAATACCTGGCAACCAGCAATCCTCCCTCCGTTCTGAAATTTTGTCGTCATAAATCTCACACAAATGGAATCATACATTATGCAACCTTTGGGGTTGGCTTTTCTCATCCAACACAATTCTCTGGTAAATCATGTACCAATAATTTTAAAACTGGGTAGTCTTCCTTGATGTGGATGGACCATAGTGACCATAGCTGGTTGAAACATTCACCTGCTGAAGGACACCTGGGCAGTTGCTGTAAACATTAGCATGTACGTTTCTGTGTGAACCTAGTCTTTATTTCTCTGGGATACAGGCCAAGGAGAGCAAATGCTGGTAGTCTAGTGATGCCCTTAGTACTTAAGCCACTTAGGAGGGGGTCTCCCAGCATTTCTCCCATTCTCATGTGATGCTTGTCCTTTAAATAAGGAGAAGGCTGCCTCCAAAACAAACCTTTTGTTTTTTAAAAATATATATTTTATTGATTTTTTTTACAGAGAGGAAGGGAGAGGGATAGTTAGAAACATCAATCAGCTGCCTCCTGCACACCTCCTACTGGGTGTGCAGGAGGCAGCTGTCTGGAATTATAGTCTTTATTTGACTCTAATTACTGAGCATGTACCACAACCAAGGTACATGCCCCTGACCGGAATCAAACTCAGGACCCTTCAGTCTACAGGCCAACGTTCTATCCACTGAGCCAAACTGGCCAGGGCATAAGTCTTTTATTTATAACCTTTCCCATTTATGGCGAAAGAAGTTCTGTTGACTACCTTGTCATTATGGAACAGAACTAAAATTTGTTTTTAAATTGTTAATCTTTTTTTCAGGTACAAAGCTGTTTAAAAGGGCATGAGTGGGAGGGAGAAGAGGGGTAGTGGGGGAATAAGGACATATATGTAACACATTAATCAATAAAGAAATTAAAATTTTAAAAAAGAAACCCTAAAAAAATAGTTTAAGACAAAGTAAGGTATTTGACACTGGTGGCTTTCAATTCTCACAGGTTTGCTTTTTGTTATTTCTCATTTGAAGATACTGTTTATACTGATTTTTTTTGAGAGAGTGGAAGGGATGAAGAGAAAGAGAGTGAGAGAGAGACAGAGAGACAGACAGGAAGAGAGAGAGGAAGAGAGAGATTGGTTGCTTCCTGAACGCACCTTATGGGGCACGGGCTGCTGCTCTAACAGACCAACCAGGGCTAGATTTGTGTGTGTGTGTTTGGCAGAGCAGTGTTTCCCAAACTTTGGACATATGTGTACCCCTTCTATAATTTCCGTAACGCTCGCACTCATGAGAACATAGAATTAGGCGCAGCTAAGCACGGTGCAGTGCATATCCCCACCAAACTCCGGTGCAATGCCCACCAAACTCTTCCCGTACCCCTGGGGGTACGCATACCACACTTTGGGAAACACTGGCGTACAGGATGATGCTCCAACTAACTGAGCCGCCCAGCTAGGGTTAGATTTGTTTTTTAATGCAGCACTCCACAAATACCTTTTTTTTAGCAAAATGCTTAAGATATGAGTTAAAACAGTTAAATAGGTTTTACTCATATTAATATTGATGTGTAGCATGATAACTGTGTATAAAATAAAAAATACTAATAAGTGTTTAAATATTTTAACTATTATTAAAATAAAAAGAAACTGATCACAAGTTTTCAGTGAACAGGTTATATAAGTCAAATTACATAAAGAACAAATATGAGAATTACCGTTAACATTAAAAAGATGAAAGCCGAGATTCCTAAGATAAGGATTTCTTTGTTCCCTTTGCTTTCCATATGTAGCTTTCGATAATATGGTCCTATAAGGTAAGTCTTTATAACAAGACATAACAGAAAAACAGCAGCCAGCGAAAAAAGAATCTGACCAATCAAAAGCAGTATTCGTAGTATTTCCATGACAATGCTAGGAAAGGAAAAAAAAGAGACAAGTTATTTCACCTCTAAACATATTTTTCTAAAAACCCAATAAAATGATCTTCCACTATTTTCTAGCATGTGGTAAAATAAAGGACCCAAATCACATACAGTTTCATTTCTAAATATTAAGATAAAAATTAATCATATTAATCTCAGACATTTTTATTTGAATCAATAAAGAAGCTTGATTACTTTGCAATCAATTCTTTGAAGCAAATGCATTTTATAGGATGTAATGATTCTTAACTGACAGCTTGTATATCTCAGCAATAGATAATAAAATTCCTTCTCAGAAAATAACCTCCATTTGAAATTCTTTATAAGGCCATAGTCATCCTGTAATATTATACTGCAGGCTCACATGAGAAGTGTAACTAAAGAATTCCAGTGACTTTCAGCAAAATATTCTCTTATCCCAAGTCAGAATTCTGAATTTTATGTCTATTACTTATCATAAAGAAAATGATTCTGTACTAAGCTCACAATAAGGCACTACTGTATATAGGATGTCCCCAAAAATGTCTGCACGATTTGAATAATTATAAAGTTAGTATTTACTAACAGTTCATTTTCAAAATTTAATGTGATCTACAGAAGTGAATGATTTTTTTTTTTTTGTCAACACCTGTTTTCAAACTGATGACTCTTTATGTTTCAGGCACTGCTGATAATGTGAAACAATGGAATCACAAGCATTAAGAATACTTATGTTTGGTATTTGTGTGCCCTCAATTCATCAACTGTTGCCATTTTTTTTTTTTTTGCCATAAACTTTATTTTATGTATCCCCATAAAAATGTCTTGTGGATAAATTTTCTTTGTTCAAAGCTTAGACTGGCTTTATCCATTATTTCAAATCAGACCTGGAAAGGAGTGAAAATTAAGTGAGTTATCAGCTGTTAAAGTGTGTATCCTTTTTTGGGACAGTCTGTGTCCCCAAAAAACATATACACACTTTGAATAATTATAAAGGCAGTGTTTGTATTTCAACTGCATTTTCAAACTTCCAGTAGCATTTTAGGATGAATTTCCTTTGTTCATTTCCTTTGTTTTTCAGCTTAGTATGGCTGAAAAGAAAGAAAGATCCACTGAGTTATCAACTGTCAACATGTGTATATATGTGTTGGGACACCTTGAATTTCTAGCATTTACAATAATATACATATTTTGTTTTTTTAATATTTTATTTTTATTTATTGATTTCAGAGAGGGGAAGAGAGATAGAAAAAGAGAGAAACATAAATTAGTTGTTCCAGTTATTTATGCATTCCATTGGTTAATTCTTGTATGTGCCCTGACCCAGGGATGAAACCCAACACCCAACATCTTTTTTTTTTTTTATATAATGTATTTTATTGATTTTTTTTTTTTTTTTTTTTTTTTTTTTTTTTTACAGAGAGGAAGGGAGAGGAATACAGAGTTAGAAATGTCAATGGGAGAGAAACATTGATCAGCTGCCTCCTGCACACCTCCCACTGGGGGGGGATGTGCCTGCAACCAAGTACATACATGCCCTTGACCAGAATCGAACTGGGGACCCTTCAGTCCACAGGCCGACACTCTATCCACTGAGCCAAACCCGTTGGGGTAGAACCCAACATCTTGACATATCAGGACAACAGCTAACTCACTGAGCTAGGGCTACATATTTTCTGAAACTTGGCCCTCCACCATATTTAGGAAACCATTCAGTCCAAAGTCCCGGTTTAGAAGGTCTCAATGGAAGAATACAAATCTTATTTTGGTAGTTTCCCCTCAACCCCCCCTTATTGTGGCTTCCTTTTATTGATTTCAGTTACCCACCATCACTCATGGCCTGAAAATATTATATGGAAAATTCCAAAAACAACAAGAATATAATTCATAAGGTTTATGTGCACTGTTCTGAATAGCATAATGAAATCCCTCACCATCCTGTTCTGTCCCGCATGATATATGAATCATCTTTATCCAGTGTCTCCACACAGTATACATTACTTGCCTGTTAGTCTCTTAGTAGCTATCTTGGTGATGAGATCAACTGTTGGGGTATTATAGCCAATGTAACCCTTATTTTACTTAATTATGATCCCAAAGTACAAGAGTAGTGATGCTGGCAATTCAGATATGCCAAACAGAAGCTGTAAAATACTCCCTTTAAGTAAAAAGATATGTATGCATAGGAAAAAATATAGCATACACAGGGTTCAGCACTATCTGTGCTTTCTGGTATCCACTGAGGGTCTTGAGTCGTATCCCACAGATAAGCAGGGACTACTGTACTATGAGAGAATTCATTATAGCAGTCAGGCTTAAAATAGCAGCACGGGACACAAATCTCAAGTTGCACATGATTACTTAGGGGAATCGGAACAGGGCTGGGATGGCAGCAAAGAAGCAAAGTCACTGTGAATGACTCCACGTCTTTGAAGTGGGGAAGCCAGTGTGAGAAACCAGGGTCTGCAGCCCAGGCAGGAATAGAAATGTGTTCTCTGTGACAGTCTACCTCAAATTCCTGACCAGCCTTCACTTACATCAGTGATAATATCCCTGAAAACTGTAATGATACCCTCCTAACTTATCTCGTTCATGCTTCAGAGGCCTAAACAGCATGCTGGGAACATCAATCAGAGGTCCAAAGCTCCTGTGACATTCAGATGAGCCCAGACTCCTTCACCCAGCGGCACCTTCCACTCTCCCTCACCTGCAAAATAGCTTACACTGGCCTTTGCTGATGCTGCTTCTTCTTCTCCTTTTTTTTTTTTTTTTTTTCAATGTCTGTATAGCCAAAGTTATTGCACCAATCACATGTGGTATGACCTTTTTTGGGGGAAGTCATTATTATTATTATCTTATTGGTTTCAGAGAAAAAAAGAGAGGGAAAGAGAGATAGAAACATAAGAGATGAGAGAGAATCATTGATTAGCTATCTCCTGCATGCCCCCCACTGGGAATCCAGCCTGTAACCTGGCATGTGCCCTTGACCAGAATCAAACCTGGCACCCTTCAGTCTGAGGCTGACACTCTATCCACTGAGGAAACCAGCCACGGCCGGCCTTTGCTTCTTGACAAGCCATACTCTCCCCAGCTGTGGGGCCAGTGCACCCCACCCCACCCCAGGTTCTCCTCGCTGACTGGCTCAGCTGTGTCTTTCAGAGTTCAGCCTCAAAGTCAGCTGCTCAGATGCCTTGCCAATCTGAAGTGGTCATAGTTGTTTGCGGACTCTTCACCCCATTATAATTCTTTGCATAGCACTTACCTATACTAGTCATTTTCTTGTTGACCATTCACTTATTCAGCATTCATTCAGTATCTTCCCCAGACATCATGGCAACTCCCTAAGAGCGGCCATCCTCCCCTGTGCATGGCATGTTACAAGTGTTCTAATCTCAGTCCAGTTTATTTAGCTGATAAAGAGATTGCAGCCACTTTAGAGATTGCAGCTACAGCCAGACAAGCACTGTCACCATCCCTATCTTACTGACAAGAAAATGGAGGCAAAGGCCAAGCCATCACTCCAGGTCATGTGCCAGGTGTCTGGCACCAGGGCTGGGCTCTTAGTTGCTGCACAGGCTCTGCAATCACCATGTCCAGAGCCTGCATCCAGATCTACCTCCATACTGTCCAGTAAATGCATGATGGTGCGGATAAAATAGTCAAACAGCTCAGAAAGGTACTATTCTACATCTTCATTTCTCTGTTTATCGGGTTTTGGCAAAGTTTCTATGCACAAGCCTCACTCATTTCAAAGTTGAGTCAGCATTCCATCACGTGTCTATGTCATCATTTTCTCAGCCAGGCACCTGAGCTGCTCTAGGTTCTTGATGTGCTAAATGATGAGCTTCTGGGAGCATATTCATGTGCAACAGACTGCACTTGACAAACACTGCCAAATGGGCTGACAGGAAGGCTGCTCCAATGTCCACCCCCAGGCAAGACCCCAGGGTGCCATTCTGCAATTCTGCGCATCATCCCACTTCTGAAAGTTTGCAATCTGACAGGTAAAAGAGCCATTCCTTTTCCATTGTATGAAGGGAACAGCTTCCATTTACTCATTTCTACATTAACTGCTTATATTACCTATTTTTCAAATTGGGTTATCAAAAAATTCATTAATTTGTAGGAGATTTTGATGAAATAAGAAACTTAACACCCTGTCTTTAATATGTGTACAAACATATTTTTCCCATTTGTCTTTGGCCCGCTTACCAAATGAGTATAGGTACATAAGCGTGTGTGTATTTGTGCACATATGTGTGTGGGTGTTTACATGTATATGTGTGTCTTTAAACAACTTTGATGCAGTAATACTTATCACTTTTTTTGTCCTTTATGGCTTCTAGAATTTGTGTTCTTCTTGAAGCAGAAAGGTCCTCCCATCTTCAATATTATAAATTTATCCATACTTTTTTCTAGAACTTCCATGGTTTTGCAAGATTTTAATTTTAATAGGTCAAATCACTTTATTTTTAAAAAGTATTCTTTATCATAGTCTCTGTGCTCTGCTCATTACCCATTAAATATTTGGGGTGTAGAAGTTAATTCTTCCCTTTAAGGTGGCTCAGTTGCTTAGAGTACTGTCCCATACACAAAAGGTAGCATGTTCAGTTCCCAGACGGGGCACAGACCTAGGTTTCGGGTTCAATATTGTTTGGGCATATATAGGAGGCAAATGATCAATGTTCCTTTCTCACATTGATGTTTCTCTCTCCCCCTCTCTCTCTAAAAATCAATGAACATTTCCTTGGATAAGGATTTTAAAAAGATTAATTCTGAATAAAGCCTCCTAAAGAGGCAAAGTTTATATTAATATTAAAACTGATTTTATTTACATTTTTTACTGTAAATTTTCTCTGGTTATCAAAATTGGAAAAGAGATTTTTCCCAAATTATATAAGAATGTACGTATAGTAAACAATAAAAGTACCATACTCTATTACTCTACTCATTAATACCTTGTTATATACTTGTTATTCATATATATATATATATATATATATATATATATGGTCTCTTCATGCAGTTTTCTTTATGTAGTTTAAATAATATTGCATATAATTTTAATAGTTTTGAGATATAATTCTCATTCCATACAATTTACCAATTTAAAGTATACAATTCAATGGTTTCCTAGTATATTCACAAAGTTGTGCATCCACCACCACAATCAATTTTAGATTATATTTCCACCTAAAAAAGAAACCCTGTATCCACTCCCACTCACTTCCCATTCCTTCTTCCTCTGGCTTGGCAACGCCTCATCATCTCCTTTCTGTCCCTACGGGTTTGCCTATTCTGGATGCTTCATAAAGATTGAATCACACAATATATGGCCTTTTGTCACTGGCTTCTTTCCCTTAGCATAATGTCTTCAAGCAAAAATGACCTCAATAAACGATCTTTAATAGTTACACATACCAGCAACTGTTCTAACTGCTTTATGGGATCCTCTCCTGCGGCCCTCACACGGTGCAAGGGATAGGTCCTATTTCCATATTGTCCCAATTTATAGGTGAGAAAAGCTGAAGCCCAGAGAGGTTTGGTAAGTTGCCAAAGCTGGCAAGTGGCTGAGCTAGAACTCTAGGGAGGACTTGCTCCAGGACATGAGCTTTGACCTCTGGAAATCTCAGTTAAAAAGGCATTCATTTTTAACATAGCTGAGTTATCTGAGAGCAGAAAAGAGATCTTAATCATTCTGGGATTCCTGAAACTTATTGTAATATCTGGCAAAGGTAAATACTAAAAAACACAAAATACTTCTAACCAACCATGTGCAATCAGGTAGGTTTGTCAGTTTGGGTGAATCCTAGCAGGCAATGAACACACACATATACAATGTCACATCATACCTCAATGGGGGACTGCTTGTTTTAAAAAGTATGATGAATAGGATCTAGATACTCATACTAAATGTCCAGGATACAACTGAAAATCATTTATCACCACAACAATTTAAAAAACTACACCACAACTTGAATGAGAAAAGATAATAAAGATTCCAACATAGAGATGAATCACTGTTAGAAATATCTGACAAAGAATTTAAAGCAGCTATCATACCTATACTAGGCATTTTCTTGAAATAAATGAAAAAAAGAAAATCTCAGAAAAGAAATAGAAGTTAAAAAAAGAAGAGCCAAATGTTAGGTAAGCAAATAGTAGAGTGGAGATGACAGAGGACAGAATCAGTGAACTTGAGGACAAATCAAAAGAATTTACTCAGTCGGAACAGAAAAAAAATAAACTGGGGGGAAAAGGAAAAGTCTCAGAGGACTGTGAGACAAAAACAAACAAACAAATCACTGGAGTCCCAGAAGGAGGAAAGCAAATGAAACTAAAAAATTACATGAGGAAATAATGGCTGAAATTCCTAAATTAGGCAAGAGACATAAATCTACAGAATCAAGCAGCTTAGCGAACACCAAATATGATAAATCCAAAAAGTGTTATAGACTGAATATTTGTGTCCCTCCAAATTCATATGTTGAACCCCAATGTGACAGTACTTGGAGGTGGGCCTTTGGGAAGTGATTAGGTTTAGGTGAAGTCATACAGATTAGTACAGAAGAAATAAAGTAAATGAGAAAGATTTTAGCATTTCAAAGTGGTTCTAATAGAAATTTCAAAGTCTACTAATTTTTGGCCAATAGTATCATTACTGTAAGAGGTAAAAAAATGTATCCACTGGAAATATTTAAAGCACAATATTTATATGCATATAGTATATTTGCTTAAACAAATTCAAGTTTATAATCCTAACCCACATGCAACATACCTTTAAGTTGTAGAGGGCACCCTATATTTTGCAAGTGTATTTATTTTCTGGCAGGTATTCTTATAATATACTAGAGGCCCGATGCACGAAATTTGTGCATGGGTAAAGTCCATACGCCTGGCCAGCGATCAAGGCCAATCTGTGGGGTGACCGGTGGCGCCTCCCTCTGAAACCCACCTTGGCTGGCCTAGCACTGCCCCCTCCTCAGTCACTTCCTGGCGCCAGTCACCTCCTTACTGGCTGGGCGATCGGGGGTCAGCACTGGCCCCACCCCTGAATCACTCCATCACCGTTGCCTGTCACCTCCCTCTGTGGGGTGACCAGTAGGGCAATTGGGGGGGCCCCTGCTGGCACCAGCCTTGGCTGGTCTGGGGGTAGCTCCTTCATTGAGCATCTGCACATCATAGCAACTGATCATTCGATTGGTCCTTCTGCTGTTTGGTTGATTTGCATATTAGGCTTTTATTATATAGCATTATATGTGCAACCCAACCTACAACTTTTTGAGTAAATTTATTTTTCCCATTTGGCTTTCCCAACCAAAATGAACCTAAGCAAGTACAGTTTGGGTTCTGGTATTATTTTATTAGAAGACTAGGAAGAAGGATCAGGGAAAACGGTAATGAAGATGACAATGACAATGATAATCACTAATGATAGTGTGGATACACATACACACACACACACACACCACTATGTTCCAGGCATTTTATATTTTAATTCTTTTAATCCTAACTATTCCATGAAGTAAGTACTGATATTATCCTCACGTTACATATGAAAAACCTAAGGAAGAGTGAGGTTAAATAACTTGCCCAATCAATGTCCATACATAGAGCTAGGGTTTGAGTCTAGTTATTCCGGAGCCTGTGCTATACAAGCTCCGAACATATCTCTGGAAAACGTATCAAATAACATTTTTATAAACAAATGATATGAAACCAGAAAAACAAACCATGAAATAAAATAATATAAAAATGTACCTAGAGTATGTACTGGCTCCTGCTTGGATAAGAGTTGGCATGACAGCTATGAATAACCCCAGCTGTACATCCTGCATCACCAGCATTCCAAGCAACACAGCACTATAGTCAAGGTCACCTGTTTACGAAAACAAAATATGAAAAGCAAATCTTTCCAGTATTTTAAATTATCTCAAATCAAAATAAAGTCATCACGCATATTTCCAGATTAAAATAATTTTGATCCTTTAAATGAGAATACAAACTTCAAAATTTCTTTGAGAGCAAACACGGTAACATTTTTAAGATTAAAAAATTTTGTAAAGAAAATCTCCCAAATATTTCCATGTTACTGCTTAATTATAAAATTACAGAAAAATGACATTATGACAAGATGGCATGGAAAATAATATAATAGGCCTGGATAATCATACCAATTTCACTGTGACCCAGAAACACATGCAGCAGCAGTCTCCATCTCTGATCTTTATTGCTTCCCTAAGCCATTCAAGAGAGACCTAGCCCCATCCTTTTCTGGTCACATATGCTGAGCAGAGCCTGGTGGCATGGGTTACTTTCCTTTAAACTCACCATCACCACCACACTGAAGATCCCTTCCCTTTGAGAATAATGCAGATTTGGTATAGAAATACTGACTCATGTGGACGGAATAGAAAAGCAGTAACCAGCAGTAACCATGGCTTAAGGGACTACACAACTCCTCTGGAGAGAAAATGATGCAGCTTTGGGGAATGCAATTCTTCACATAGGCCTCAAAACGTCTCCATTTTCAACCAACAGCTCTTAGCTTTGGAATTTTCTATGTTTTCTTAAAAAAAAAAAAGATTAAAAAATGGTGTTTTTTCATTTGTGGTTGAATGTTTCAAACATGATTATTTTAAAGACTTTATTAGGTTTTCCCACAAATAAAGAGAATTCATATTCTGATAATTGAGTTTGTTAATTGTCTTTTCTAGCCACTGATGTCTTCATAGGTACTGGTATTATAGTATACTAGAAGCCTGGTGCATGAAAAAGTTTAACTGCACGACAGTGCCACCAAACCACACCTCAGAACGTTCATTCCTAAGCGTCCTACCAGGTCTGACTTCACTATACACAACAATGATTTTGAGATGTGAGCTATCATACACACAGATGATACTAACACCAAAGTAGAAGAGGTGAAAGTACCTTTAATTACCAAAGTACCTCATATATTTTATAGAAGAAGGTATCAAACGTACATCAATTCCCAACACTTGCCAGAATCAAAGCAACGTACATCAATTCCCAACACTTGCCAGAATCAAAGCAACGTACACATTGTTTTTTAGGTTGCATGTAACACCAGTAGTGTAGTCAATAAGCACAGTGAATTAGAATTCTGGAGCTGGGTGATTTCAGGTTGGGTGCAGCACACTAACTCTTTAACTCACCAATTCCACAGTATATTGTTCAATGTAGATTCCTCTCTCTTAAAATGCTCCTCAAACTATTCTCAATTTGTGAGCATATAAAAAGACATTTTTCTTTTCTTTTTTTGAAAGAATAGGAACTGTTTTATTTTATTTTATTGATTTATGTCCCATTTTTATTTTATTTTATTTTATTTTATTTTATTGATTATGGTCTCACATAATTGTCCTTATTCCCCCATTCCCATCCCAAACCTCTTCCTAGATATGCCCCCCTCCCAACCCCCGTTGTCCATGGCCACTGGCTAGGCCCATATGTATGCACACAAGTCCTTTGGTTGATCTCTTCCTCTTACCCCCATCCTCCCTTACTTTCCCTCTGAGGTTTGAGAGTCTGATTGCTGCTTTTCTTTCTCTGGGTCTGTTTATGTTGTTCATTATTTCCTCTAGATATGTGAGATCATGTGATCCAAGAAATACCCTTGTAAGAACCTAAACTGTAATAAGCCATAATGGTTATGCTGAGAGGCAAATGAATCAGTCTGTAGTGAGTTCCTTTCTGGGCCAACAGTTCTTTTGAGTCCCAATTTCAATGCCAGATAGTTCCTTAAAAGACATTTTTCTTAATCAAATGGAGGATTGGAGAAGCTGAGATTACAGGGACAATAATTCCTAAGGGAATGTCCATAACTATTAGGAAAGCCCCAAAGAGACAATACGAGTTGTAATTTTTTTCTAACAGGCCTTCGGAGTGAATTAAATATGTACTGCTTCAACACATATTTAAAAGAGATCATCGCCTACCTTCTTTTTCACCCCGGGCACTGCCCACGAGGAATCTGGATACTAAAGGTGTGCTTGATAAAGACAAACAAGTAGAAATGAAAACGCTCTGAGTGGGTCTGATCTGTAAAAGGTGTCCCCATAGTAAGCCAAATGCAATCATTAATAGTGTCATATAACATGGTCCTTGTAAGGATATCTTCCACACCTTAAAGAGAACACATTTATTTATACATTTTAGTGACAATAGACCATCTCTTGACTAGCGTTATGCCAAGCATGTGCATACATACTGTCCAGTAATGGCGCAGGCCTGAAATACTGCAGTAGATACTTCAGCACAAATCCAACATCGTAATGTTAACACAACAGAGACAGTAAACACTAACTTAAGGCTTCCCCAGGTCTAGAAATTGTTATAGGAACTAAACAAACATGTCTCTGTGTATACAGATATGTGCGTGCATATAATTTAATCCTCAGGACACATCTCAGAGGTAGATATCATTGTCTCCCCTATTTCTAGATGAAAACACCAGACCACAGAGGTTAGGTCATTTGATCAGGTCTCATGGAAGACAATGTGAGGACATAAACCCAGGCAGCATATAATCAAACACAAATTGATTAGACACCTCGGTATGCACTTAACATAATAGAAAATGTGAAAGAAATCAAGTTTGATTCTAACCCTTTGGGATTTTCAATCTAGCTGAAGAGACAACATAATAAAAATTGTCTGATATTTATACAAATGTGAATATTACATATTAACAAAAGAAATTAACCCGAAACCCATCCTAGTCTACGTTAAAGGACTTGTTTTGTTCTCCTCACAGCACCCTCCCAATTAAAACTGATTCCCTCACCCAGGCCCTCTGCTCAAAAAACTCATGGATGCCCAGAAGAAGGGGCAAGCCGAGACTGGTTTGGCTCAGTGGACAGAGAGTCGGCCTGCGGACTGAAGGGTCTCAGGTTCGATTCCGGTCAAGGGCATGTACACTGGTTGCGGCCACATCCCCAGTAGGAAGTGTGAAGGAGGCAGTTGATCGACTTTTCTCTCTCATCGATGTTTCTAACTCTCTATCCCTCTCTCTTCCTCTCTATAAAAAAATCAATAAAATATATATTAAAAAAAAAAAAAAAAGAACGGGCAGGAGAGGCATAGCTCAGCACAGCTCTGGAACAGTGAAGTCAAAGGCAAACGCTGAGGCCCCACCAGCTGGCCAACCTCGTCTGTGTCTCAACACATCTACTCCCCTTTGGGTGCCCTGGAGCGTGTGAGATTTTCCTTCCTCTGCTCTGGTTTGGGGTCAAAGCAATACATCTTGCAAAACCAACGACATTTTCTTTGGGAATCAGGGCAGCTGGGAGGCTCTTCCGAGGCTGGTATTGATTTCCTGCTGTGGCCAAACAAGCAGAAGCCAATGCTGGCCCTCACCACAGCCCGACCGGCTGCCAGTCTGCTGGTCCACCTGTTCAGGAAATCAATTACAGGAGCCTCCCAACTCCATAAAGTCCCAACTGGAGGAGACCAAAAGAGGAAACTGAATTGAATGCTCACTGGATTGAGTGCTCGGCCTTCCATGCAGAGCCACATCTATCTCCTGCCATGTGATCCTGGTCCCCCAGGCCCCACTCTCTCCTCCAGAAAGGCACAAGTTACCCTCACAATGGCTGTTCCTCAAAAGTTCATATTTCATGTTCTTGACTTTTTTATATTTGGCGGCGTGTTATCACAAAACAAATCTCTTCCAAATCATTCTTCTTCTTCATGTATATTAAGCTAAGGAGCAATGAAGGACCAGAGCAGACCCACACAGCCAGCTGCAGCAACTAAGGAGGCTGAGTATGTTGGATTGTAGGGTTCACAGGTATTAAGTAGCCCCTTCTGTAAGTAGTGTTAGCCCTCAGAGTATTCCTGCCCACACAGGACACCTAGAGTTCAGGCTTGAACCTGTTGCTAACTGGCTGTACACCTCAAATAGGTAATAATCTCTCTTCTTCAGTTTCTACATCTGTAGAGAAAAGTGAGACGAAATAATTTCTGAGGTCCAGAGCGAACCTTTGACTTTATTGTCAGGTGTCTTGCTACACCTTGGTCTAGAAGTTGGGATCTATTTAGCCTGAGGAGCAAGGTATGGAGGGAACGACAGGAAATACCCAACGGAACATCCTTCAGGAACTTCCTGTCCGACGTGGCACCCTGCCCTCACAGAAATGCAGGCCCTCAGGCTGCCCATATCTGTAGCTCTAGGTCAGCAAGAGCCCCAGGCCACTCCTCGGACATCAGAGTCTAAGAAGCACTGATAAGAACCCTCTCAGCCAAGACCCTGCTCCCTGTGCTTTGGGACCACACACCCAGATGCACACATCAGCCTAAACTGCCCTCTACAGTTCTTCTTCCTCTTTCTTTTCCTAAGACTTCTGTTCACAACTCACCAAAGGACAGGGATCATGTTGACTGTATACAATGCCTTACACTCAGAAACTACCAAAGGTCTGGAACATCACACTCAAGAAGTGTTTGTTGAGAGAACAAATAAGAAATAAAGGAGAAGAAAATACAACTCTTGCCTCCATTATTTTATAATCTATTTAGAGATGAAAGCTGGTGACTATCTATACTAATAAAAGGGTAATATGCTTATTAGACCAGGAGACCTTCCAGACAAAGCCATGATGGCGGGGCCGAGGCAGAGGTGGTTAGGGATGATTAGGCCAGGAGTGGTTAGGGGCAATCAGGCAGGCAGGCAGATAAGCAGTTAGGAGCCAGCAGTCCCAGATTGTGAGAGGGATGTCCGACTGCCCATTTAGGCCCAGTGGGCCTAAACCAGCAGTTGGACATCCCCTGAGGGGTCCCAGATTGGAGAGGGTGCAGGCCGGGCTGAGGGACACCCCCTCCCCATGCACGAATTTTGTGCACTGGGCCACTAGTTATGATATAAAGTAAGAGAACAGTTTAAGTGAAGCTAGAAGAATGAAATAAGGCAATGGATGATGACTTACTAATAAATGATTCAACCAATGGTACCAGTGGGTAGAACAGAAAGACCACAGCTTTCCTCAGCAACAAGGAATAAGTCATTTTCAGACTTCCATGTTTTTGAATAGTTTCTAGTCAGACCTTTAAGAGATTTCACCAAAGACCTCAGAGGGCCCTTCCAGCAATTATTATTTAGAAAACCCTATTCAGTAATTTTCTACCATTACAGGAACACCTGGACAATCAACCCACACAGCAGAAGCACTATCAATTGAGAATGACTACACTAGTCACTTCAGATGCTCTTGCATTTTGCCAGTTACTTATATCTGAGAAATAAAAAAAAAAATGTGTTAATTAATAATGTAGTTGATTAAGAAGATATCAATCTTCTGCAATTTGAGCCCAGGGGCCTAGAAAGGGATAGGATACCTTCTTGGGGAATGTCAGGTTTCAGGGGTAGCACACAGGGGACTCGGGGGCTAGTAAGTGAGGATCCATGTCAGAGCTGAAGGGACATTACAGCCCCCAGCTCATAAGACACAAGAACTCTGCCCAAAGTCACATGCTCAGCTGCTAGATATTAGCGGGGAGGATAGATGAAGAGGTGGAATACAGAGGATTTTTAGGACAGTGCAACTGTTCTGTGTGATACCAGAATCAGAAAATGGACAAATGGAGTTTTTAATACAAAAAAATGAGGCCAAAGAAAACCAAGTGAAAGAATAACAGGATGAACTAAAGAGACACATGGGAAAAGGTCAGCAAAATGATGGCTAAGTCATGAACAAATGTTAATAGTGAATAAACAAAACCATATTATGTTAAATTGGGGGCAATAACATGGATTGATAAATCCTTACCTTTCTCAGCTTTTCTGGGGAAAATTCTAAGCCAACAAGAAAAAGAGTGAAAAACACACCAAATTCTCCTAATGTCTCCACTTGCACAATAGACTGAAAAACAAGAAAATTTTCAAAACATGGAATTTAATATATTTAACACATTAAGTATATTTACCAGAACATTTTGTACTAACATAGGGACTATGCCCAAATAAATATATTTTTAAAACAAGTAATTCTTTGAATTTCCTCTATCTGAGATAACCTGGACTTCCAGATTATATTTTTTCCCCCTTTTTTTCTTAATTATCTGGAGGAATTGTTTTATTTTTAAGAACTAGCTCATGAATTCACCTGTTTTAAAGTTCATTAACTGGTGATCTGTTATCTTCATTAGTTCCTTTCTTTAGCTTTTTCTGGGGGATGGGGAGGCATTAAACCTGAGTTTCAGGATGAAGTAATTTAGAGTGGTTCACTCTAAATTTGGGTTTCAGCATGACTAAGTGTATGAATTTTTTCCTGAGTACCACATTTGGTCATATCCCACAGGTTTTTTTAAAAAAAATATATATTTTAGTGATTTTTTACAGAGAGGAAGGGAGAGAGATAGAGAATTAGAAACATCAATCAGTTGCCTCCTGCACACCCCGCACTGGGGATGTGCCCGCAACCAAGGTACATGGTCTTGACTGGAATTGAACCTGGAACACCTCAGTCCACAGGCCGACGCTCTATCCACTGAGCCAAACCAGTTTCGGCACATCCCACAGGTTTTGATATACAGTGTTCTTAGGTTCTATATTTGTTTTGGTCCTTCATTTGCTATTTATTTTTAATATTATTACACTATAGTAGATAATGTTTATATTACTATATTTGGAACTATTTATATTATGTATTTACATTTGAGATTTTCATTGTTCCATTTTTTTAAATGTTCCCTGAACATCTTATAATAAAGTACAGGCTCTCAAGTATCTGTATGCTGTCCTGATTCCAGCGCACTTACTTAATCAGCTATAACATTATGAATCCTGACTTCTTTATTGGCATCTCTCCTCCTTTCAATTTTTATTTCTTAGTTGCTTTTTTTTTCTTTATTGATTAAGGTATTACATATGTGTTCTTATCCCCACATTGTCCCCCACAACCCCCAGTCATGCCCTCATCCCCATGGTGTCTGTGTCCATTGGTTAGGTTTATGTGCATGCATACAAGTCGTTTGGTTGATCTCTCCCTCTTACCTCCACCCTCCCCTACCTTCCCTCTGAGGTTCGACTGTCTGATCGATGCTTCCCTGTCTCTGGTTCTGTTTTTGTTCATCAGTTTATGTTGTTCATTGTATTCCACAAATGAGTAAGATTATGTGATATTTATTTTTCTCTGACTGGCTTATTTTGCTTAGCATAATGCTTTCCAGTTCCATCCATGCTATTGCAAAGGGTATTATTATTTTTTTTTTACAGCAGCATATTATTTCATTGTATAGATGTACCCCAGTTTTTTAACCCTATCACCTGCTGATGGCCACTTAGGCTGTTTCCAAATCTTAGCTATGGTAAATTGTGCTGCTATGAACATAAGGGTACATATATCCTTTTTTATTGATGTTTCTAGTTTCTTGGGATGTATTCCTAGAAGTGGGATCAAATGGGCGTTCCACTTTTAGTCTTTTGAGGAAACTCCATACTGTTCTCCACAGTGGCTGCACCAGTCTGCATTCCCATCAGCAGTGCACGAGGGTTCCTTTTACTCCGCATCCTCGCCAACACTTTATTTTGACTTAATCTTTATTGTACTTTCCTCCATATTATCTGCAGACCTATATCTTTTAATAGGAAAGTTTATTCTATTTACATTTATTGTTAAAACAGATACTTTTCTTACTTCTTTCATGTCTTCTGATTTTTATGTTTCCTGACTGCTATTTTAATTTTAATTTTCTTCCCTTTTAAAAATTAGGCTGTAACCTACAACTTCAAAGTAACATACTTAAACCTGTACTTCTCAAGTTAATAAATGAAAGCCTATCAACTTCCTCCTAGAAAAAGATACCTATTTTAGTAATTATACTTTCTCTTACCCACCTTCCATTTTTGACTCGTGTGCTCTTGAATTTTTATCTTGGACTACTGTAATTACATTATTTTGCCATGGTATAGCTGATTTATTAAGAATTATAATAACCCTAGCCAGCTTGGCTCAGTGGATAGAGAGTCAGCCTGCAGACTGAAGGATCCCAGGTTCGACTCCAGCCAAGGGCACATGCCTGGGTTTCAGGCTCAATGCCCAGTGAAGAGGGGGAGGGGGTGGTGCAGGAGGCAGCTGATAAATGATTCTCTCTCATTGATGTTTCTATCTCTCCTTCTCCCTTCCTCTCAGAAATCAATAAAAATATATTAAGGTAAGTAAATAAGTAAAAATAATTAGTCTGGTGTGGTGATTTCTTTGCACCCTCTTCTGCTGTTTTCCAGTCTGAGTAAATCACAGAGGTCCTTTTGACCCGATACACATGTTAATCAGCAGTGAGGAACTGAGGCTGCAAGTGGAGCATTCTACAACTCTCCCCCATTTGCCTACTCCTATTCTATCCAACTGGGAAGCATCAGTGAGGTCTGCAAATTCTGTTGCCTATTTTTCACCGTCCTATATTGTTCCTTCTGTGTGGGCTCATGGCACCTATCCTTGGCGCACTCTTTCCATTTTGTCCAAATTGTGCGTATTTAAGTGAGAAATTTTGAAACTCCCAAAATGTTGGGAACCTCCTTACTATAAAAAATGCTGTCAATGTAAGATGACGCTCACTTCAATTTGTTCAGCAAACAGCCTCTAGCAAAAGCAACTTCAGTGCCTCACTCTCTTGGGGTTCTCACAATACCTTACATTTATGATTAATAATTCCTCACTACTTTATCAGTTTTCAATGTACTAAGAATTTTAAAAAATACATTTAATCTTACATTTTTAGTTGCTTTTAATCTCTGAATAATCTAGTCCATCAACTACTAGAAATAGAATCTTTAGAACTAAAATAATTTAAAGACATGATCAGAGTTATTTTCGCTAGTCAATTCACCCTTTCCTTAACGAACAAAATTATTTTCTTATGATATAGAGCTTTCTTATAAAACTTTAAAGGGCATCTTCTTTACTATGATTTATAAGAAATTGTTATCTTCATTAATTCAAGTTCAAAACTTTTTATGAATGTTTTCATGGATGTTTCTTTTGGACTGTTAAACAAATACTGCGATGGTTAAATTGTGTTCTTACCTTAATACTATTTAGTCCTGAAGGTCCCAGAAGAACACCACAAATAATATAGCCAAACATTGTAGGCAATCCTATTGTTGTGCATAGCCAGCCACAGGGTAAAGACAACATTCCTATGGTAACAATGTCCTAATGCAAGAATAAACAAGAAATACAAAAATTTAAGATAATAGTTGGCAAGAAAGGCTGGTTAATGGAGAAAGTAGGCTGGGATAGTATCATGATTTCACTGAATGAGAATAAAGGACAGATGATGAAACTAAGGGAAGAAATTTTTTTCTACTACAGTGTACTACAGAGAAGTTGAAAACATGCAGAATCTATTCTGGGAATAGACGACATTAGCTCCTAATGGTCTAACAATTATAGCAAAATTTGTCTGTTTTGCTTAAATCCTGTAATAGTATTCTAAGAATTCGGAGCACTAGCGCTCTATTTATTTATTTTCTCATCTGGGAAATCTTCAGAACTGGTGTCCTAGTTTAACTATAATACTTACCTTCTCCATTGGTTTTCCTACCACATAAAGTCAATATAATCATCACAGTCGTAAATGTGATGTTATTATGTCAATTAACATAAATTGACTTAGACAAGAATCATCAGTCGGTGCTACAACTACTGGTGAAAGTTTGACAAGGAGCAGAATAGTTATAGTCTCAAAATATTTCCCCAGAAATTATGGATTACCTTCAAGAGTAACTTATAGTGGAGACCGCACCCGTTTAGAGGACACTAATGTGTTCATTTTGCAGACTCAGCCCTTCCCAGCTGCTATTCCAGCCACAACCAAAGAAAGCAATACATCTGCTGAGTTTTATCTAATGATTCAAGTCTATTTATATAGGGGTCTGCCCCTCACAGTAGCCCCAATCTTCCTCTCAGCCTGTCTGTGTTGACACCATCTCTAAGAGTAGGTAATTTGCCTGAGTTTCTTTTCCTGTGTCGGAGAGCTCTGCTCGAGACCTGACAGTTTATCTAGACCCTGCCAGCCTTCCCTGAGCAGGCTGAACCAAGTCACTCATATCTATTCCCTATTTCTATCCAAACCCAAACAGTGATCTTGAACCATAACACCATCAACTTCAAGCCTTTACATAATTCTATATTCTAGAATGGTTTCCCTAGAGTTCAGAGGTCTGTACCTAACTCCGTCTGGAATGCCAGTTCTCACACTGCAACCCCACTCCCAGTCCAAAGAAAGCCATATGCGATTATTAGCCAAAACTTTTCTGCTTCATAAGAATGTCCTATTTTAGTGAATATCGCTTTTAGATAGCTGAAGCTTTAATCCCATTATATAATTCAAAAAGTCTTCCAAACTCTCCAAAACAAAATTAATTTTCATTTTAAACATTTAAAATGCTTCATTCTTTTGGGGGCAAATAAAAAGTTAAAAGTAAATGTTTTAAATCACAGAAAACGTAGGGAATTCTAGTAGACTCTCTACTAGGCAGAAGACTGCATACACTAATATAATGCTCAGAAAATAGAGCTCGATCTTATTTGACATGTATACCAGGAGCTGGGAGGGGAGTTGTGGAAATTAAGCCCAGCACACAATTTTGAGAGGAGAGCAAGCAGAGACAGACTACCTTTATGAAGTGGTGATCGGCACGTGGGATTGTTGAATCTCTGGGCTTGGTCAAAATATACTGGTTGTTCTGGGAATCAATCAGCATGCTAAGACCTAAATCATCCTCCACTTCCTGTTTTGTGCGATTTTGCTTGGAGTTGGCCTCTTCTTCCTCCACCCTCAGCACTGCCTCAAAATTGACCCCTTTGACCTGTAAGATTAACCAATATTATGTAATAAAAATCAATAAAGTGTTTTCAAGTTCAATATCTAGAGAATAAATTCTACACAGAAGAATAATAGTTAAGTTTTTAGTATTTTGTCAAGTGTGAAGATCAATAAATGTTCATTAGCATTAACTTGAAAATTTCCAATTACAAAAAGTGATTTTAAGGATGGAAGTGTTTAAGATTTCTATTATTTCTAAATATCTACTTTATCTAATTCTGCAGGTGACGTTGTGATGTGTAAAAATACAGGAGTAGGCAAAAGTAGGTTTACAGTTGTGAGTACATGAGTTTATTCTTGTATGATCATAATCATGGCCTGCATGATTTTTGCCATATGAACTGTAGACCTACTTTTGCCTGTTCCATAGGTCTTCATCCCCTTTCTTGGCTTATAGCTCCGCAAACACATATAATTCTCTAAGTGATAATGAGTGATGGAAACATCTCTTGTTATAGTTGTGTCCTTGGTTCCTAAGATAGCTCCCAAGCAAGGTGAAAGAAGTATCTAATTATTAAGCACAAGCCCTAGCAACCTTACACGAGTTTATATTTGTGAGGTGCTATTTGGAAAGCCTTAGGTAACCACACGACTGGGCTGGTCATCAGAGGAACTGAGCATATGTTGAGAGGGTTGACTTTTCAGCCCTATCTAGACCTCCAAGAAGGGAGAGGGTCTGGAGGTCTGGAAACTGAATTAATCACAAACTTATATAATGAAACTTCCATGAAAATCCTTCAAGAACGGGGTTCAGAGGGCATGAGAACGCTATACTCTTTCCTCACACCTTGCCCCATGAACCTCTTCCGTCTGGCTCTTCCTGAGTTGTATCCTTTAACTGGCAATCTAGTAAGTAAACTGCTTTCCTGAGTTCTGTGAGCTGCTCTAGCAAAGTATGGAACTCATGGAGAAGGGTTGTGGAATCCTCCAAGGTGGCTTGGGCTTGGTGTCTTACACTGAGGAGATAGTCTTGGACTGAGCCCTCATCTGTGGAGTCTATACTAAACCCAGGTAGAGTCAGAACTTGAGAACTGTTTGGTGGGGGGAAAACCCCTATGCCCTAGGAGTACAGAAGTGTTTAGGGAGCAGTGATTAGAGGGAACGAGTGTTTTACTTTCAAGGGCATATTCTTTCAAAAATTGATAGCCCTTAAAATGCTTATGAGTTCTCCTCCAACCTGTAATTAGAAAATTTTAAAAACACCCCATTCCTTTCACTCAATTTTCATTCTGCCACCTTTTTCCTCTGATCTTGTTCTAATTTGTTGGGTTTTTATGTGTACTTTGTGTTGTTGTTTTTTTTACCTAACCCATTTCTGAGTCCATTCCAAGACACACAATTTTCAACACTAATCTCATTTATTCCCCCAAAGAATCCTGAACATGTAACAGTGAGCAGTCTAAAATCTTGCTTTTGATATGGAGATCATTTCCTATAAAGAGTTTATTGCTCCCCTGGCCAGTCAGCATTGAAACCAAACTGTCCAGAGCAAGCCTTCTTGAAACCAGTCCCAATCCTCCTGAGGGCACAACTAGGAAACAAAGATGAGCCACTGAGGGGGGACTGACAAAACATGAGGAAATAAAGGATAACTAGTATACCTCTGCAGCACCAAGCCAAATTATTTTTATATTTTAGTTTTCTTTGTTTTCAATCTACACTAAACATATACATGCAAACCATTTCAACAACACATCTTTCAGGAAGTAGCTCAGTCTCAGCAGGCAAAGAACTTTTTCTGGAATGTTACTTACTGATTTATTGTCATCAAAAGCATGTTCTTCTATTTCCTCCTCTAAACGATCAGCTGCCTTTCTTACATCTTCAAGAATTTCATCAAGCATGGATAAACTTTTGTTTTGATGTTGCATATTTTTAAGGGCTTCAACTTGATGTTTTTCTGCTGCCAGAAGTTCCACATATTCTGTCTCTTCCTATTCATTTGTAAGAAATAAAGAATGGGGTTTATTAAAAAATAAACCAGAATATCACTTTGATGCAGGTACCTGGTCCAACCACATCAACACACTCTATCCAATATTTCTGCTCATAAATGTATAATTCTAGCTCCCGTCAATTAGGGAAAGTCAAGGACCACCATTATATATTCAGTCCATCACTGAAGGGAACACTGTTATGTGGCATTTGACTGTATTTCTACCCAAAATGCCATACTTCGGTAAAAAAAGTTTAGTAAATCTGCATCTTCTCTACTTTTTAAGCTATGTAATAATACCATAGCCTTTCTATGAAGATTAAATTATATTTTACATATTTTAAGTTTGGCTTACATGATGGCTATAAGAAATTACATAATAAATATCATATCTGTTACAGTAATGGTATCTTCTCATTTTAAAAGTATCCTTTTAAAATCCTTAAAGAAAGCCAACCTTCACACAGAAAGGAATTCTTGTTAGAAACTCAAAATGTTGACTGCAGTTACAAATACACTTATTTCCACATCAGTTTATGGGATAACTTCAGTGAGTATTTTAATAACCTGAGTATTTCACAATATAAACAAGCATGAGAATGACTCCTTCTAGAAGTGATAAAAGGTAACTACGCTAAGACATTTATGCAAAAGGGATTTTCTCTGGGCGTGATTATCATGAACAGGTGCCTCTAACAGACGACCCCCGCTGAAGCTTCAGCCCACTCTGCGTTTCCCCTTCCCCTCTGCTTCCCAGCTCAGAGTGTGAATGGCTCTTTCGGTAAAGGAGCGAGACGGCTAACCTTTATGGCAGCCTCTCTCAAGGCCTCCAGGCGCTGCCGGCTGCTCTCTTTCATGTTCACCACGTCTTTGTAATCTCCCTGCAGGGCTCTTTGGAGTCCATAGATGGCCTGAAAGACGGAATTTTCACTTTCATTCAGCTCTTTTTGAAAGATTTCAAATGTGTGCACCTGGAACAGCTTCTCTTCATCTGACAGGCCCGCGTCCTTCTCCACCGCTCTGATTGCGTTTTTCAGCTTGTTGAGAACCACAGTCTTCTGGCGAAGAAGCCCGGAGAGCTTTCTGCAGCTGTCCAGGAGCCACTGCTTCCTCTGCGTGGTGGCTGCCCCTTTGCCGCGGTGTAACTTGATGGCGTGTTTCGCTACCCCTTCATGTTCCGCAGCATTTGCTATCAAATGAAGCAATGGGAGCAACATCCACAAGTAATTTTTTTCCAATACCTTCATGATCCGATTTTAGACGACAGGACAAGGCAGTCCAAAGATTTCTGCTAAGCTGAGCTTGCATTTTAGATTCACATTTTCAGCTGGGGGGAGGGAGAAAAAGATTTATTACCACATCTAGTTGAATGATGATTCATCATTACTGAAATCAGAGTTAAAGTATTAAATAAAATAATTATATCCAGAAAACTATCACTGTTCTGAAAAAAAAGTTTTTTTTCCTATATTAATATTAACATCTGAACTATTTATTGCACTGAGGTTAAGTTCAAATACCGAATGCTAAAAGGTATGGGCCTTGCCGAAACCGGTTTGGCTCAGTGGATAGAGCGTCGGCCTGCGGACTGAGGGGTCCCAGGTTCGATTCCGGTCAGGGGCATGTGCATTGGTTGTGGGTACATCCCCAGTGGCGGGTGTGCAGGAGGCGGCTGGTAGATGATTCTCTCTCATTGATGTTTCTAGCTGTTTGTCCCTCTCCCTTACTCTCTGTGAAGAATCAATAAAAATATATTTAAAATAAAATAAAATAAAAGGTATGTGCCTGGTAAGAACTGAGACTAGAGATTATGTCTGAATTTAAAGGAAATGTTTTTAAAGAAAAAAACTCAGCCTCATATATCTACTAAGTCTACCAAACGCAAAAGACAAAACCACTTCTATGTAAAAGGCTTCACGTATCAAAGGCCAGACACTTTACAAGTCAGTGAACCACCTGGGGGAAGCATGCTCCAGATCATTCCAGACATGATACGTTTTGAGGTACTATTAGCTTGCTTTGCCATATCGTTTGCTTTCCAAAATCAGCTGGAACTTTATCTAAATTTTCAAAGTCAGTCTATTAAGTGCTAGTGAAATAGCAAGGATAGACAATAAAATCTCCAAATATAATCACATCTGGGTCTTCGGGGCTTTATAAAACATTGAAACATTTCCAATCATCCAAATTCAAGCTCCATCCCCTCAGGAAGGCCTCCAGCAATGAGTATGGTTTTATCTGGCAACTTAAGCACAGACAGGGCCCTGGACAGGACAAGGTGAAGGTTTCAGTGCAGGCAGCAGAGGGCGCTGCAGCTGTGGTGTCCAGATTTCAGGGCAGGAAAGCTTTATCAAGGAGCAGGAGGCAGCTGTGGCAGCTGCGTCACTAAGAAAAAAATGACCGCAGAGGTCGTAGAATAGACTAAAGGAGGAAGGAGTAACAAATACAAGAAAGGCCAGTAAGATACACTCTAAAAACTACCCACTTCACCTGGCAACTAGGAGCTCACTGGACACAAGAGCATAGGCCAAAAAATAAAACAAAGCACAACTTTACACAGGAAATAAAACATTCACATACACCATCTAATCATTCTTAATAGTAGCATCCAGTGGATTATCATGCCAAGAATTCCTACTCAACTGTAAAATAAACCAGTATTTCCCCTACCTGGGGATCTGTTTATTAAAATGTTTCTTCATACTTTTTAAAAAAAAATCTATTTTATTAATTTTTTACAGAGAGGAAGGGAGAGAAATAGAGAGCTAGAAACGTCGATGAGAGAGAGACATCCACCTGCTGCCTCTTGCACACCCCCTACTGGGGATGTGCCCGCAACAAATGTACATGCCCTTGACCGGAATTGAACCTGGGGCCTTTCAGTCTGCAGACCGACGCTTTACCACTGAGCCAAACTGGTTTCAGCTGTTTCTTCATACTTTAATTTCCCTGATAATCCTAACGCTAATCAATTTAATGTGGTTTCCCAGGCAAAGCAGATTAAATGCAGCAAATATAAAAGTGTGGTATTTCTACAGCTAGAATGC